ACTTTTAAAGTGCCCCTATTATGGATTTTTGAAAATTACCTTTCATGCAGTGTGTAATACAGCTCTAAGTGAATGAAGACATCCTGCAAAGTTTTAAATCTGAAAGTGCATTGTGCATAAAGTTATTGTCTCTCAAAAGAAAGAGTCGACTCTGAATCATTGAAACGAGTCGTTTTTAAAACAAATTCCAAGCCGTTTCATTTTGATGTCAACATGAAACATGAGCATATTGCCCGCCCACTTGTTGGTCTTTTCGGTGGTCTGAATGAAAATGCAAATTCATTCTTTGCCACTAGGTGCCGATTTTGGAGCGATAAAATAGCGGTTTCCCCGGTAACGCTGTACACAAAGCAGCACTGCGCTCACAAATGCTGCTTTATCAGGCACTACAGGCATGATGAAATGAAAATGAGACCAATCGGACCAATCATCGCAGATTAGCGTCATGCAAAGGAGGGGTTTGGAAAAATGAATCGTTGAGCGAATCGTTTGGGAGTCGTTGAGCTAGTAAGGTAAAAATAAATGCATATTATAAGACAATGAAAGTGTTTTTTGACCGTGCATGCATGTCAACCTGTTGTTGGTGACTCCCAAAACCAAAATATGAACCTTTCATAACCCATAATAGGGGCACTTTAAATTTATGAATGAGATTTGACGGTCATGGTGGAAGGGTAGATTTTCAACAAACTTTTGTGGTGCTTTTTTTCATTTTGGAGCTTTACAGTCCATTTTACCATTCAAAAACAACAGAGCAGAGCATACTAAAAACAGCCTATCATCTTTCAGTATGGGGTGAATAAATTATGACTTAAGTTTCATTTTTGGGTGAACTATTCTTTAAATATAATAAACAAGATATAAATTAACAACCATCACAGAGTCAATAACAGCAAAAAATAATAATGAAAAAATCCTCAGTGCTTTCATATGTGGAGACATTTAGACACAAATGGTGCATTAAAAGACTTCCTATACCATTGTACTTACCCAGAACGCCCAGTCTGTAGTTCATAGTGACGACAATCACGTTTCCATAGGCAGCAAGAATGCTTGCATCAAACATATTTCCTGTTCCCTCCATGTATGAACCACCATGGATAAACAACATCACAGGCTTCTTCCGACGATCTCTAATATCTGTGTAAAACATAAAATGCATTAAAAACATTAACAATTAATAAAAAAATATTATTAACATATATAATATAATACCACTGCTGCAGCATCACTGTAAAATAAACAGCAATGATCTGCTTAGTGAAACACAGATATTATGCGCTTAAGAGCTCTTGTTCATAAACATATACTGTATACAAAACATATTGATATTTTTCAACCATGCACATTAAATTGAAAATTATAATAAGAAATATATAGTTCATATACACTACAGTTCAAAAGTTTGAGCTCGGTAAGATTTTGCAATGTTTTGGAAGTCTTTAAAGCTCACTAAAGCTGCATATATTTGATCAAAAATACAGTAAAACCAGTACAATTGTGAAATAATATTACAATTTCAAATAATTGTGTTCTTTTAAAATATATTTTAAAATGTAATTAATTCCTGTGATGCAAGGTGAATTTTCCAACCTGGTCTCATAAAAACACGTACCTCTGTGCACTTTTTGTGCAGCACCGTTTTTACGTACCTTACTTTATGTTTCGCCGCAGTTTCAAGAGAAATGTCCACTGAGTGGCGCTAAAACACGGGTTCAATTCGTGAACCCTGGCACGTTTTTATTACGTTGAAATAGGTAGGCCTACGTACTGCTGTGTTTTTATTATGTTGCTTCTGGTACGTATTGCGGCGGTTCAGAATTCAAATATCCGGGGACTGACGCTAAAAGTTAATGCTCTATCGTGTTGGAAATATGCCCTACACCAAACCCAACCCTAAACCTACCCGATAGTGTTAACAAATGCAAAACTGATATAAAAACGCATTTGTTGATGCAACAAAGGTGTCGGAGTTTTACTGCCTCTAGTGTTCATTTATTTTGGAAACTGCAGTGATATGTACTTATTGGTACGTATTTCGCGTCTCGCTAAAAAGTGCACCCAGGTACATTTATGCCATGAGACCAGGTAGGAATTTTCAGCAGTCTTCAGTATTTTCAAAAATTTTCTTTAGAAATCATTCTAATATGCTGATTTGCTGCTCAAAAACATTTCTGATTATAATCCAATATTATTAGTATATTACCTATTATTAATAGCTAATATTATTGCATATCTATGTTGAAAACAGGTGTGCTGCTTTTTGATGAAAATAAACATTTATTTGAGATATAAATCTTTTGTAAAATTATAAACATTATATGTGACCCTGGACCACAAAACCAGTCATAAGTAGCACAGGTTTATTTGCAGCAATAGCCAACAATACATTGTATGGGTCAAAATTATCCATGAAGATATTTTGTAAATTTTCTACCGTAAATATATAAAAACTTAATTTTTGGACTTCATTTGGACAAATTTAAAGGCAATTGTCTAAATATTTAGATTTTTTGCACAATCAGATTCCAGATTTTCAAATAGTTGTATCTCGGCCAAATATTGTCTTATCCTAACAAACCATACATCAATGGAAAGCTTATTTGTTCAGCTTTTGAGATGAATATGATCATCTCAATTTTTAAAAAAATGTACCCCTATGACTGGTTTTGTGGTCCAGGGTCACATATTTGATCCATATTTGATCCTTTTTAATCCATAATTTCTGAATAAAAGTATTTCTTAAAAAAATCATTTGAATTGAAAAATATGATTGAAAAATAAATGTTCTGCACTATTTTAAAACTTAAAGCAGGAATAAACCAGTATCTGTAATTGGTAAAAGAATAAGGAACATAAATACATTTCAGGCTTATTTAGTGTACTGATACCCCAGTGGGGTTTGTGTGTGTGTGTGTGTGTGTGTGTCTACACACTTTACACTGCCTACTCTTTTCCTAAAAAAAGATAGTGGAACAGTATTAGTGGAAATAGTAGCGTGTTACCATTTGATGGTCTTTTCAAATAATGAGTCAAGAAAGAGGAGGTAAAAAAAAATAGTGGCTGATATTGCTACCAGTTCACTTGCCACTCTTAAAATAGAAGGTCAGGTTGAGCGCACTGCATTATGGGATACAGTACTGTGAGTGCTGTATGTTCAATTGCATATGGCACATAATGGCAAATTTAGTAGGTCATACCACAAAAATAGTTAGAATAGTACGTTAGTTCATGATTTCTGACCATATCCTTAATTGTCTCCTCACACTCTGGGATCTTTTGGCACGATCTGCCTCGCATTGGCTCATCATTTCTGCACTCTGCTGGCACAGTCTATCTATTTCTCTTCCAAAACTCTGTTGTTCTGATGTATCTCTGTATCAGTTAGTACAGTCTGTGTGTGTTTCTCTCTGTATATTTGTAATACAAAAGCTCAGATAGGTCAGACTGAACGATTCCACCATCTCACATCTTGGATCCCTCTCTAGGTGCTGCATTGGTAGAGTCCCTACCTTTGTGTGGTAACTCCTCTGTCCTTCGACCCCATCTAAACTCCCCCATCTCAAGTCTCAAGATTGGTATATTCTGTCTCTTTTAGATTCACATCTATATGTGCTGTTGGTACGGGTTGTTCCCCTTCGCTTTTCTCTTGCAGTGTGTTTGAGCTGCACATGCTCATGCATATATACATAATATGCTCTTGGAGATGCTTGTGTGTGTGTGTGTGTGTGTGTATAAATGTGTGTGAGTGTGATTGAGTGTGCGAGGGCATTTGGAGATGTCCAGTTAGCCAGTGCTTCTGTGGTGTGCAAGTGCTGTAGATAATTCATATGAAAACCAGACCATGCAGAAACATAAATAACTACCACGACATCTGTTTACCCCGAGAGAGAAGGAGGGGGTCTGAGAGAAAGAAAGAGAGTGGGTGAGAGAGATGGGGGAAATCATAAAAGAAAGAGTGAGACAGATGAGAGAGAAAGAGAGAAAGATAGCCGGAGTGTCAGAGAGAGAGAGAGAGAGAGAGAGAGAGGAAGAGATCAAGATGTGAAAAGGAAATGGCACACAAAAGAGAATAAAATAAAAGTTACACAGACCAAGGTCCTTTCACGGACACACAAAATCACACACACACAGGCAGCTGTGATGCTGAGTCGCTATGGAAACTGCCTCATCTCTCTCTCTCTGTCTAATAGAAGCTCACCAGCACTGACTCACTCATGCCTGTTGCCACGGAAACAAATTCTACGCACGTATTTGCACGCCCGCCTGCATCACCACCTGAATCTCGGGTTACAAACGCATTACAGCGACTGCATCCTCACACGCACACTTTTTCATCTTAATCTTTGCATGCACACAAACACCTCTTCTTGAAGACAAACACGACTTTTTATAAACAAACACACACACACAACCTATGAACAAGCTCGCACACTCGTGCACAAGTATGGGCACTCGTGTGAACACATTTCTTGGTTCTCTTTGAATACTGAGACCAGTGGAAATATAAACAAGTTCAATTATCCCAGATTCAACAGAGTGTCTCTTTCGCACAAGACTAATATTAGACTATTAGATTTTTTTCCAGGCTTTGATACGTGTTGTTTCACACCCTCGGTGCAGCTGAACGGAGTAAGAGTTACTTGGTAGATGCCGGTGTTGAAGCAGTGACACCTCCGATTCAGCCAATCAGATAGGGCTGTGTGGATCAGGTGTGCTGTTAACAGCCAATCAGATGATGGGAAATCTTTTTCAGGATGGAACTGTTTTTTGTGTCATCGTGAGGCAACACCATTATGCCTGTAGGAAGGAAAAATCACAATTTACACTTATTTCTCCAAGGCATCGTTGCAATTAAAGGGGTCATATGATGCGATTTCAAATCCAAAGAGATATTCTTTATAAAAGTTAAAGAGTCAGCCACGCCTACCTAAAACGGCTCGTTCTCACATGCCCCCACATACCTACGTCACTATGTGGGAAGATTTGCATAACGCCGCCCAAATGTTCACGCAAAGAAAGAAGGCGTAAGTTTTATTCTCGCTGTAGTATTGGCCTTAATTCCAAAAGAGGACGATATGGCTTCGTCATGCCTGGAGCTGATCCGTGCTGGTCGCTGAGGAAATACATACTGGCATATATGCAAATATTAGTTCACCTTAGAGAATAAAATTAATTAATCATTTACTCATCCTCATGTCATTCCAAACCTGTATGACCTTCTTTCTTCCATGGAACCCAAAAGGATCATTTATCAGAATGTCCAAGCACCTATTTGTAATTAAATAGAAGTGAATGGTGACCAAGACTTGTCAAGCAAAATGTTTAGTGAAAGCTTTCAGTGAATTTAAATTTAGTCAGCAATCGTATGACTTCAGAAGACTTGTAATATTGCAGACGAGGATTTGGACTGCTTTTATAAAGCCTGACTAAAGCTGTGACAAAACTCTCACTTTCACTAAATGGAGCATTTTGTACATTCAGCTAAACATCTGCTTTTGTGTTCCAAGAAAGAAAAGTACACAAGGGTGAGTACATGATGCTTGGGTTTCCATTTTTGAGTGAACTACCCCTTTAATGTCAATAATACTGAATAAATGTAAAATCAAATGCTGTAAAAGCAGATTTCTCCAAGCTGACTTTTTTTTCCGCTGCAGTATTGAGATATTTTTTGTGTGTGATGCATCGAAGAGAAGCACACAGAATCCACAAACATCTTATCTGGGACAACCCTGCTTACGAATCCATGAGTATAATCTTTGTGTGTGTGTGTGTGAGTGTGAGTGAGCGAGGGAATTAATGGGGAGACACAGGAAGAGAGAGAGACCTTATGCAATGCGTTAGCCTCAATATGGGATGGAAAGTGTTTGAAATAGAGCAAGAGAGAGAGAGAGAGGGAGTGAGAGAGCAAGCACAACGCCCAGATCCTTTCAACAGAGGCCTTAGTATCCTATTCGCTTCAAAACATCCTCAAAATACAAGAACGCTATTCTGTCTCTCCTCCTCCAAGCCTGCACCTCTCTCTCTTCCTCTCCTATGCCGTACCTCCCCCTCCCTTGTTCCCTCTGATCTCCTGCTTTTCCTTCTACTCTCCCCCTCTCTCTGCCTTCATCGTTGCCTCTCTGCTCTCGTTATGGGACTTTCTACACCTCTCCATCTTTTGTTCTTTTCCAACTGGGCTTTACTCGACGTTATTTACAGGAAAGTAAGGCAGAGAGATGGGGGAATGGGATTGGGACTCGGCGGATTCGAACCCAGGTCCCCGAGAGCCACCGACTCTCGTGTGTCGTGAGCGAACGCGTACCTTTTTGCGCCACGACCATCCCTCCCTTCTTGTCCCTGTCTGCCGCCCACACACCCTCTTTCACTTTCAAAGCTCTATGAATGTCATTTCATCATATACTCGTCTTTATCATGACGGTTTCTTAGCGATCTCTCCCCCGCCGTGCTCTCAAATTGGTGATCTGAGCATTCCCCCTCTCCTCCTCTCTTTCGTTCTCCTCCTTTCCTCCGTAGCTGCTGTGCGTTTCCTCTCCTCTTCTCTCCCGTGTTCAGAGACGCAAAATTGGATTAGCTGGCAGTGTCTCTATTTAAACCTCTGCAATTAGAGATGCCCGGAATCCGAGAACTCAGTGCATAGAGCGCGAGCCCTGCACATGCACAGACATGTATGCTATAAAGAGTGATAGTCTTTTTAAATGGAAAGAGCACGGAATAATGATACTGTAAAACCCTGGTAATTGCTTAACTATCTATTATCTTAATATATATAAATTTGATGAGACAATACATGGCATTTTACTGTGAAATACTATTCAAATATGTTATATGTTTTATATATATATATATATATATATATATATATATATAGTAGCCTTGTCACCTGACCTGAACACAGCGCGCTGATTTGCTAAAATGGACTTATCGGCTTCTGTTCAAAAACAACAAGGGTGCTTGTCGGCTTCTGCAGTAGCTAAAACGTGAACTCGCGATGTCTTGAAAGTGGACAAAACCGGCTTTTTTGACAAAACGTGTCTAGGGTTCAGATCGCGCTATATGTGGAGAATAATGCACGGCAATCAGCTCATTTTTTTTTAAAGTGGCGTTTATTAAAATATGTTTATTAACATTATTTTAAATAAAATTATTGCCATTAATTACTTGTCCTTGTGTCGTTTCAAATTTGCACGACTTTCATTTTTCTTTGGAATGCAAAAGAAGAAATTTTGAATAATCTCCTGGTTGCTCTTTTTGTATTCAGTTTATTCAATTTATTCATGAACAATTTATTCAGAAAGGTTTTGTGAAACTGAAAGTTGTTGTGTTAACAATTGTGACAATTATCAGTTAACAGGATCAACTAAATGCTGGACTTTCAAAAGTATAGGCAGACTCTGTGCCACTGTTGTAGTAAACTTAGTTGTAGTAAATTTATTAGTTTTCCGCTGGTCTGTTATTGTAGGGACATCAACTTTACATTTTCACCTTCCAAAATATGAGGCTGAATAAAACAAACTGTGATGGGCTGCTTTACATGTCAGTCAGATGGCCTCTTGGCCCGGTCCCTGGACCCCGAATAGCTGGAATGGAGTCCAGAGCCTTCAGATCTGACTATGTGAGACTAGGGTTTAGGCAGATTTTCAGTGAATAACAACTTAAAATATTGGTCTGTTTCTAACACAAAGTACGATTTCAGAAGGTTTGGATTACTTTTATAACACATTTATGGTGACTTTACATCTGAAGCTTAAAATTCTCAGTTGCCATTCACTGTAATTGGCACTTTTGAGTTAGTAAAAAAAGTAATATTTATTCTGATTTCTTTTATTACCTATGTACATGTGTTAGATTTGATGTTGTTTAGTTAATTAAAAAATGTATAGCCTAGTAAAAAAGTAATATATTTAAAATACATTTATTTCATACTAAGTATAGTTCAAATCTATTTACATACTTGTATTTACTGACATATTTCTTGAGACTTACTGATATAAAAACTTACAATTAAACTTTATTTGGAGTAGTACACAATGCACAATATTAGGCCTAAAATGTGTTTTAATGTCACTATTGATGAGGTTTGTATGATCTTTAAATAATATCTCTCTTTAAATGCAAGATATTTAAAGTGTACCTACAGTTTACTTGCAATAGTTCCACTTTAACACAATCAAATATACTCCAGTATATCTTTAATTGAACTTTAGCACTACTTCTGCACAATTAAAGTGCATTAAGTACAAAATTTGTTGTTCCAATTTAGCAGACTTTAAGCATACCAGTTTAGTATACTAAAAGTACAATTGCAGAGCATTTTTATTAAGCACAGACGTATGTAAATGTATTTGTAGTATATACTTAGCATGAAATAAATTGATTTCAAATACATTTTAGTATATTTATTTTTCACTAGAGAATACATGTTTGTGGTTCATGTTAAGGCCAGTTTTTATGAACTCATCGCCATCATGTGACCATACGTATTATTATAATGAACATCAATATATTTAGTACAAAGCAGATTTAAGTACTTCCTATGGGTTGGCAAATTAAAATATATATAGCCTACTGTCATAAACTGCAAAATATACAGGCACCAAATGCTGTCAATTTCTGGCAACCACAGCTGCCAGATTTTTTTTTTTTTTTTTTAACACAACACAGAAACACACATTTAGTGGAAACTGTGAAAGTGTGTGTTACATGGAGTGAACAACATGCACACACACATGTGCAAGGACACCCACATACACAAACAAACAAACAAACACAAATGAGCTCAGACACAACAGTATATGCTGTAAACACACACATATACACAACAAGAGCTAGTCTGCAACTTTCCCCTTATTATTAAAATATGAGCAATAAGATTACTGCAATTATTTAGATTTTTTTATTAATAAAATCTAGGCAATATTAAGATATAATATTAAGTCATTTTAAATACTATTAGAACATTCAGAATATATTTTTCTCTGCTCTTAAAAGCAATAAATCCATCTTTTACAGACTTACTGCATTAGCTACTCTACTGCATTCTCAGCTGGATGCATGTCAGCCAATGAAATTGCAGTAAATCACAGGGGGCTGATGGGATTTGTAGTTTATTGATTTCTGGCTAATCCTTTGCCATTCATCAAAAACGACACAAAACGTATAATGAAATCTTAATAACCGTTGACGGGAGATTATTCCTAAAATAAAAGCCTGTTGTAATGAAATGATGTAAGAATCATTTGTTTTGAGAAGAAATTAAAATATATGCAGCACAAATAACCACATCAGCAGTGCATGAATTAGTGCATGTATGCTTGAGCATATGTATGTGTTTGTGCCTGTGGCTAGTTGAGCTAGAAGCAAATTGCAAAAACATACAAGACAAAATAATCAAGAGAAATAATGGCACACATTACAACCGGCCCCCAAAAAAGAGTCTGAAAAACAAGACAAAAAGGGAAAAACATGCAAGAAAAATACCTTCGTCCCTCGGTCTGTTCATCGAAGACTCATCGTGTTTTTTTGTGAGCGGACCTGGGGTTAAGACAAAAAGGGGGGAAAGAGAAAAGACAAAATTCAAAAAGATTTTACTGCGCTTAAACAAAAAGAGCAAAAAATTCCAAAACAGCAAAACAAAACAAAACAAAAAAAAAAACTAGCAAGAGATCATGTGTTCCAATTTAAAAGAAGAATCAAAAACAGCAGCCAAAGCAGAAGAGCAAAACAGACAACAAACTCATAGAAAGAGAAAGGGAGAGAGAGGAACTGATGGTGGTGTGACACTTGCTAACATCCCTACTAGCAGCTACGATGTTTTCACTTTTCTTCCTCAGTTTTCCCTTCCACACTCATTCGTTATATGCCAGGCTTTCAATGACAAATGTCCAGCTCTCTTTCTTTGTGCCCAGAGAGAGAAAGTGATGAGACATGTGGAAACACTGTAGCAAAGCTGCGTTTAGTGCAACGGCCCTCAGGAGTCCTCCGACTTAATGTCCTGTGGGACAATAACTCCCCCTCACAGGATAAGACTGCTGAAACTCTGATCTCTCTTTTCCTGTCTTACAAACAAACAAATACACAAACGTCTTGTGTAATGCTCTTAAGAAAGCATCTGACAAGGACATACATTTATAGCTATAAATGAACATTTTATCCATTCAAATTTACAAACTATATCAGTATCTTGAGCAAAGTGGAATTTGAAGCCAAATCAGGTTTACTGTCTTTTTTTCACATTGCAGAGCAATAGACAAAAACAAAAAGTGGAATACATTCGAAATGTGAAAAATGACAACAAACTGGACTATGACTCCTTTCTATCCTTTTGTTCAGCAACAAAAGTAACCATGGTAGCCATAGATTTCACCAAATGAATATTACAAGAAGTATTTATTATATATTATATACTTTATTATATACTATACATTTTGTAGAGATAATAATAATACATGATACAACCTGGTTTTTGGATGTTACCATTAGTAATGTTAAAGTAAAACTATTAAAAAATAATTTGCATTAATTGAAACAAAGAAGTAAAATAAATAAAAAATAATTAAAATTATATCATAATATAAAAAACACAAAACATTAATACATACCAAAAATACACCAAACATAAAATGAGTACAAATATAAAAAATAAATAAATACAATTATTCATTTTTATTATTTTTTTAATTACTAAACACACACAAAAAAAAATCAAAATATTATCAAATGGTATTATATAATATAAATACCACAATATACTGGTTATATAAATATAGCAAAATTTCAGATGATTATTATGGTATTACTATGGTATTCTTTGTAGTGCTTTGAAATACCACATTAAAAGCCTGGTACAGTGCATTATATTCTAATCATACCCTCACAAAACAACAGCATTTTTATAAACAACTTTATTGAAACAATAACTGTTGTAACTATGACATTGTGTAAACTATAGTTAGCATGTAGCTTTACTATTGAGCGTCAGGTGCTGAATGATACAGTATTGAAAGTCAGGTCTGATGTAAAAGTCTGAATGCCACACAAAAGTCATTCACCCCACTGAAACAGATCCTAGCATTTATCAGTTTGTATTGCAACAGTAGCGTTCTGTCACTGGCTTCTTCAGGACTGGAGCTGAGAGGATCTGGTGCAGTGAGACACATTAGCATCTGTCGCTAACTGAGGTTAAATGCTAAATGTTTGTGTGGCGACAGCCATTAATGGGTATTATCAGTATGACCCCTTACCCCCACTCTCAGTACTGGCGGTGGGCCTGTAAGAGACGAGATAGAAATCGTCTCCATTTATTTACCGTTTATCTGCTTCACAGGCTCTCCACACCAATAGACCACACACACACACACACACACACACACACACACACACACACCACCCACATATCACC